AGGTCCTTAATAGGTAGTCCTTTCTCCTTTTCAACTCTTTCTATCCAAGAATCAATGATCTCTCTTTCTCTAATAGTAATACCAGTCACTATATTAATGCGCATGTTCCATCGATCTCCAAAATTGAGATAAACCCACACGACATGTCAACCCCACTAACTAAATTTATTCCCTCACGTTTCAATCGACTGAAGTCTGATCAATCGTATCGTGTACTTTAAACAACTGCAATCAGTTTATTTAAATTCAAATTAAAAAGTAATTTATTCATGTAGGATATTTTAGCCGCTTTTGAACTTGAAATTTCTTATATTGTATTTTTTCGGACCAATCGTTCGTTTCCAATATCGTTTAATGATACAACTATAACAAAACGACTTAAAAACAAAACAATAAAATAAACCTTACCGTTTAATATTGTTGTAAATATTTATTATTGAACTTTTTTGTTTACCACAACAAATGAAGCTTCTAATTGAAATCGAGAAAGGGGTAGATATTTAAAAGCAATCATAACTAAATACGAACAACTTTAATGTACATATCTAATGTCGAACTTTTTCCGTAATTTGTAATCAATAGCTATATCGGGTCAGTAAATATGTTAGTTCGTATTTATTATTGCCCGTGTAATTTAGTAGACTTATTAAAAAGTTATATTGCAGTTGATTATATTTTCTTCAAATATTTTTCATAGATTTGAAAATAAAAACATGATTCTAACAAGAATAATTATGTTTTCTTGAATCCTTTACTGAGACTTTTTAAAAATATTACCTTTTTATTAACAGAAAAATATTCTAATGTCAAAATAAATTATTTCATAAGTCGAACTTTAATGTTGTCAATGGTTTTTATTCTTATAGGTCTAGACACCACATAGAACCAACTCTTTTTTGGAAAATAACCAATTTCTAAAATCATGGCTTGGTGGTAAACCATTGTATACAGAGTTTCATTCAGAATATTAAACAACACAGTTTTGTATGCCGATGTCCAAACTGTTCTTTTATAGAACTATTTCGTTTTTTTCTTTTAAATTCTAATGTTTATTCTTCTTTTTTAAAACAATTACAATGTTACATAGATTACATTTTTATCTTATGCGGTTCCAACCTTTTTAAAACGTAGTGCTAATATCTCTGTTAGGTTTTTAAACTATGCAAATAGTGTTAACCAAACTTCCCCGGCCGAAAATCGGGCGAGCAGAAGTGACTCTAAACCCGTGAAAGAACATAACATGAATCGATTGAAGGCAGTGCTGAATTAGCATAATATCAGATACTACAAACCTCGCGCATTCACTGCTGTCTGAATATAATACCACAATATTAACAAAAGGCTGTTTTTTGATCTTTAGTAGAACATACTATTTGACCACTCATGCTTATCCGTCAGGACTATACTGTACTGGGAAATAGCATACCTTCAGAATACCAGCGTTAAGTATTATGCCATTACTGTTATTCCAACGTAAGCGTTGCTTTTTTGGAAAATGTTATCGCGATTCGTGAAGTGTGTAAAAGTTTTTTTTATACCACGTAGGTGGCAAACAAGCATACGGCCCATCTGATGGTAAACGGTTACTGTAGCCTATAGACGCCTGAAAAACCATACAGTTCGGGCATTTGTATTAAACCCAATCTTAAGAACCCAAAGCTAAAACTATAGGTCTCTTGAAATAATTTGCTACAGGTTCTGGGCTACGCGCTGGGTTAATCTGGTTGGCTGAAGGCCAACTGTTTGTTGGTTGGAACCAGTAATATAAATAGTATCAGAGATAGAAATTTACGATTAAATATCATAAACTAGGTTTGACTTAACAATACAGGCATACATCGCCACATCGTTTATTTCGAAAGCGATTGGATTCTGTTTTATGTTAATTACTATTTCGATTGTTACTTAACTGTAGTTATTCTTGTAAACCAATTATGTGGATAATAATAATAAGTGAAGACAGGTGAAAAACGAGGTATTATCGTAAAGAATTTAATTCAGATGTAATGTGAATATGTACTAATTGAAACCTAATGGTGTAGGACATAATGCTTATATTAATGTAGTATTTGCTCGCAATAAAGATAAGCAAATTAGATGTTTTCATATTATTCAAGTTGTGAATTCCTACGAGAAATAGCACTTGGTGCCTCTACCTACACCATAAGCGACTTGACGTGTAGATAAATTGATGTTGTCTGCCTTTTGCTCGGTATATGAGTTCGAAACTACAACAGCGATGGGTTTAAAAACATTCAAGATGCTAATATGAAAATTTTAGAAAATCTACAATTAGAACAGACGATAGCGTAGAAAAATTCTACGGAAAATAAATTCGAAAACAATATTTTGGTCCAAATTCAGACAGATTTATTTTTATAATGAAAATAACTAGCTACGTATAGTTGTAAAATTTTAAGAAGAGCGAAAAGGACTTTAGTTCCGAAAGTTTTCCTTAATAGTACAAATAGAGTAAGGGAGAGAAGATATGAAGGATTATGAAGCTACTCTTTTTTATTTTCTTAATAGTCTCATCTTCTGGCATGATGATGTTAATATTACTGCTAATTCCGTAAATATAATGCCCATAACGCTATCTTTAATTCTATAAATCTATAGCATATTAAAAATCCCAACAAAAGCATCTCTGAAAATAAAGCTTACATTTATGGCAGTAATATTCCATGAATATTTTTTTAATGGTGCCCACATAATGTACATATATGTAAATATTTATTAAATATATGAAATTCATATGATAATATTCGATGTCTGTTTTAACGAGTGGATACCTCACATTGTAAATACATATTTATGTAGGTACCATTAATGTCACCAAATGCGCTGATATTTCGTAATAACGCTAAATCCTAAGCTATTGCTATTTAGTAAATATGCGTAAATATTTATTTACAATACTAAATTAAATACTAAACGATCTCTACGCTCTATATAAATTTAATTTTATTGTGATTATAACTCAGCATTGGCAGTCGATATTCTGCATGTCTTTTTAATTCGTTTTCTTTATTAATTTGGCATCTTTCATGATCCAGTGTTACTTACTGCTATTTTTATAAAGATTTAATGTATTTTGTAACAGAGGCAATGAGAGACAAAATGCTACCGCGATCATTGTACTTACTCAAAAACCCTCCAGATGCAGTCAATATCCGATGTATATAGTATGTAGGTACATCGGATAAAATAAATGAGTTTGAATTAAACATTTTTTTTTAAATTGTTTTACATTGAACAAAAACTATTGATATACAAACTTGCGTTTAGAAACATTGAATTTTCATCCAGTAATAAATTATTACTATCAGTCATTACTATAAATATATGTATGTTATTTTATAATAATTTAATGTATACATATTATATGATCAACTTCTCCAATCATATCCCAGTTACAATCACAATAATTCATAATAGATAATTTATTGAACACCGTAATTCCAACAAAACTATGACGCTAATGATGTTTATATACATCACTAATTTCACTAATATTACATATCTCATTGCATAACATTAAATAAATTAACATTACATGTCTCAAAGTGTAACATTAAATAAATTCACAAATATTACATGTCTCAAAATGTAACATTAAATAAATACATAAATATTACACGTCTTAAAATATGTAACATTAAATAAATTCACATACATATATTTTATAACTCCATGAAAGGGTATTACATACTGGAAGCATTCATCTTTGGGTCTTACGTGTATTTTCTCAAATTTTATCGCCTTTCTTCGTTTACAACGATCTATCAGAACGGACATTTTAGATACGATATCTGCAAAATTCATATTTTCTAAACACATTCACGATTTTATCGAGTAAATAGCTTTCTACATAATCCCGGCGTCACAGCGTATATACTATATATATATATATTCTTGATATTTATACAAAGTCAAAACAAAAAAATTACACACAACTACTTATTATTCACTATAAGTAAATTATACGGCCATAAATTAACATTTACACATTAATAACTATAACTGAATTGGCCGTTATAGCATTCGCGTGCATTCTAAGTCGAATATTTACGTTGGAATTCACCTACCACTTATTTTTACTACGACTTACTTTCGTTACATTAAAAATAATTGTATAAGATGCGGCATACCAATCGTCACTCTTAATTAGGTCTAATTAATCACCTAAATGATCACTTGGCGCGAATATTACGGTATAATTATATACTATATGCCATTAATGATTAACCGCGTAAATATACATACGTGGTGTAAATAATCTGAGTAGAGGTACCGACGACGCGACAAAATCTAAAATTACGACGAGCGAAGCTTTTACTAAATATTTAGATGTTTTTTGTAAACTAATGTGCATGAACTAACAATTACGACTAATACCAATTGCTGTTTAATATCTATTAATTATTTAGGGATATATTCATTAGTGTAACTCAATAATTATACGCTAATTAAAGTAAATTTAATACATTTTCTGATAACACAAATGAAGTGTCTACTTATCTTGAATTTATATGTATGCTCTACTAGTTGAAATTCTTAAATATACCCTCAATAAATCTCTACCAGATTAATATCATTGGGTGCCCCCTATGTATTTCGAATCGTATTTTCTATCTAATTACATGACAAACGAGCGCACAATACCTTCATTTATGTAGTTGTGCAGTACAGCCAATATCTCCCAATATGTTTGCAACCTTACTACTTACAATTTCTAAAACCTAATACATACTTCGTACCAATAATTTAGATCTTTACATAGCACAGCCTTTAAGGCTACGTTTACGATTATTATCAATTTAAGAGATTTGAAATAGAGAAAAATCTAGAGGAAGAAGGGATTTTAAGAAATTTCTAAGACCTGTACATTTGAGCACATACAATTTTTTAAATAATTATAGAGACATACATCGAAATGTTCTTGACGACATCCGTAGAGGATATTCAAATGTAATTTATGATTTTGAAATAAGAGAGCTTTAAAATCCTTCGATGACCCCGTAGGCTTCTAAACTAGACATAGTGAGATATAAAAGCCAGAGGGAGAAGAAGAATATGGAAGTGATGATTTTAACACCACGTGGGCCCCCGAGTTCGCCTCCAATTGACTTCCGTCTCCTCAACACCAGAACTAAGACAGCGAATGCGGCTTCAGAACAGTACATCGTCACGCTGAACGCGAGGCTGTTGAAAAAAATCATTATTTTTTTATATTTTACTTAATTGACTGATGGACTGACTATTACTAAAGATGGAATGATTGTGTGAAAGATGATATAATGATGATATGAATAAAAGGAGAGTATGCTCAGATATGACGGCCGTTAGAGAACAGTGGAAGAGAATGACATACTGCGCCGATCATAAATAATGGGTTTCATATAAATTACTACTCGATGTTTTCAACAATAACCCTATACAACTCACACCGCGCTATCTGGTACCAAGCAAGGCTTCCACCGGTTTAACACACCTCTTTACTTACGATGGTCGTGGGTTCGATTCCTCACTCGGTATTTGGATTCGTGACTATGATGAAATACCCAGATCAATACAAACAGGTCTGGATGTTTATGATGCATATTAAGTATATATTTACCATAGCAGTTATTTAAGTATTTACATCAGTTGTTTAGTACTCACAGCATATGCTCTGCTTAGCTTGGGACTAGATGGTATTGTGTAAATTGTCCTAAGTTATTATTAAACTAGTGGTCGTGCTATGGTCGAAATTCGACTATATATATATATATTTTTTTTATTTTATTGACTAGTTAATATAAATTTTATTTTATTATAAGGTTCTATTATCAAAGACAGAAAGAGATCTATGAGCGTGTGTATAAAATGCATGGTAGTATCTGTAATTCATTTTTATGCATAATTTAAAATATATATATATATATATATATATACTGCACTTGTTCTTTATATAAACTGTAAGTGTGCGAAATGTTATATTCCCCCGTCCGTGCAATTTTCATAAAAAGAGCTATAAAGTTTTTGTTTCACGTATTAGTGTATAGATATAATATACATGTAGCTAGAGCGTTATGGACTGATGTCTATGATGAGGTGATCGTCATCATGTGTACGCTCGTACCTCTTACGATGCTATTCATTCATCGAAAACCAAGATGTTATGCACCCGAACCCAGTGATTTCTCTGCCATATCTTACAAAGAAGGTGATTAGCGGTTGACTTGAATTGGGTGATACTTCAACTTCACGTGTTTATCCCATTTATTTGGGGTCGGCGTTATGTGTTCTCTTCCATACATACGCATCCGCGGCTTTACGTGTTGATACAATGATAAATACACTTACTTGCCAGGGTCGACCAGGAACTTCTCATTTCTGCTCCAATGGACGATGGCAGCCACTGTCCATGCTACTCCGATGCCCAGGAATACATTGACAGCGTTGGATCCGGTGACATTGCCGACAGATGCGTCCGCGTATTTATCTTGGATCGCAGCCACTTTACTTGCAAAGGTATCTAGTAAAAACAAAACAATCGTCATACTCGGGAACGAGTGCTGCAAACAGCACTCGTTCCCGAGTTCCTGATTCTCCTGAGAGCTTTGGAAGGCAAGTATCAATTGAGATTGTACTACATAGTAAGTGTTATTTTCCTGAAGTCAATTTCATTGTATTATTTCATCGAATTTCACTGTATTTTTTTTTTTTGTTTAATTGTAACGAATTCTAGGGTAACAGTTATTATTTAAAAAGATTGGAATAAAACGGTGATAGTATAATACAAGAAATGAAATGACAAGACTATCTAATGGGACTATCTGATCGTGCTTCAAGTTTTCTCAATTTTAGAGTCTTACCTGGTATACTAGTTCCTAATGCCACAAAAACGATGGCCGTAACGGAGTCTTTGATGCCCAGGGTACATCCAAAATGTGAAGCCACGTCGCCTATAACAGCGGTCACCAGTCCAATGCAGATAATTGATACGACAAAGCAAAGATATCCGCCACCAATATCTGAAAAAAATAATCTTTATCATTACAAATCTTTGAATTTTTCGGCTTAATATTATATTCTAATTTATATATATACTAGCCATACCTGCGGTTTCACCCACGTTAAATTTCAATACAAAATTTAGCCTATGCATTATTCTGATGCATAAACTATATTACTGTAAAGTTTTATCAAAATCCGTTCAGTACTTTTTGCGTCAAAGAGTAACAAAGATCCATCCATATTCACAAACTTTCACGTTAATAATGTTACTAGCTTTTACAATCAAATTGAATCAAAAATATTTGTTTTTTTAAAATAAAAAATACCCTATGTTCATTCTAAATTTTGTACACATATTCTTGGAGAACATGTGTACAAAATTTCATGATTATCGGTTCAGTAGTTTTTGTCTGAATGTATAACAAATATACTTCTAGGGCTTCGCCCGGATGTATATGTAAACCTTCCTCTAGAATCACTATCTATTTTAAAAAAATCGGGTCAAAATCAATTGCGTAGTTTTAAAGATTTAAGCATACATAGGGACGGACGAAGTGTAATGATTAAGAACCGCGAGATATCGAGTTCAATTAAAAGTAAGAAACTTACCAGTGGGAGGGACGAAAGCAAATATGATTTTCCAAAATAAGGTGACAACGTGCAATACATAATCGAAACAAGATGGAGGCTCATCTGGATCGTCTGAACCTGAAATAGTATGTATACATTATTACAATTATATAGCAGGACAATTCACACAGCGCCATCTAGTCCCAAGCTAAGCAGAACTTGTGTTATGGGTACTAGGCAAAGGATATAAATACCAAAATACATTTTTTAATATACGTAGAAAACATCCCCAGACTGGGGCGAAGGGGATTCTGAGAAATGGGCACTAGTAACCCTCATTGCTAGCAATGTACCATATTAGGTCGACCTGCACGCGGTTCTCCTGGAAACCATCGTGATAAATTCGCTAGGAATTTATCACGATGGTTTCCAGACCAATAGACCATAACCATGCATGAAGTGAATTCATCATCTTATTATCCTCCACTGGTGCCCCACCAGCGTAAACCGTTAGCGTGGTGCAACATTTCACAAAAAAAAAACACCTAAACCGATATAATACTTATGAATATAAGTAGATGTTAGTACCGTACGAGGATTCGAACCTGCCATCGGAAACAAGTCAGTGTGCTAAACCGCTAGACCACTGAGGCATCTTATTATTACATTACACCCGCGTCAATCAGCGCTGGATGCAGTCCAGCAATCAGTCCAACAATAGCTGAGCCAATAGCTATAAATATAAAGTTCTAGTGTCACAGTGTTAGATGCCATACTTCTCCGAAACGGCTTAACCGATTTTGAATAATATTGAATATACGGTAGGTGTGAGAACTGGTTGGTATCTATTTTTTATATACATAAATGATAAAGACGGCCGAAGTGCAAAAATCTTTGGATTTTTTTAAAATGTGGCTTCAAATACACTCCTAAATTTTCACCCTTGTGCCACTAACCCCTATTTTTATTAGTAATAATAATTTATATAACAAAACAAAGTTTTCCAAGTCAGCTAGTCTTTTCAGAAAACCTTTGTGCATATATATATATACATAATTCTGTAACTTTATAACTGTTTTATTATGAGTAATAAATAGATTTATTATTTCCCCTGCCGGTCTGGAGTGCCATCTGCACTCGACCGCTATCATCCGTTGAAGCTGTAAAGGCCAGCTGCGGTCAACAGCATTCGAATAATCCGAAAAAAAAAATTATATCTAGAGAAAAATACAAACAAATAAATACACAGACATGTTATTCTATTTAAGGGAAAATCAATATATAGTCGTAATGTCCCTATATAAATCTGATTTTCGCGTGAACGTTAATATTTGTATGGGCTGGATAAATATTTGTTCTCAGAATTCAAACACTAATATAACCCGGAAGCAACACTGAACTGTTTATATACGAGTAACTACATATCACAGCTATATATCACTATATATATAAAATTCTCAGAACAGACTTGCCGAACTTACAGAACAGAATTTCATTCGTAATTAAAACTAATGACATTAAGACTTCCTAATGTTTAAATAGTAATTAATTAACAATTTACGATAGATCAAGATTAGTAAATAAAATCAAACTACTTCTTATATATAAAATTCTCGTGTCACAGGTTTCGTTCCCATACTCCTCCGAAACGGCTTGACCGATTCTCATGAAATTTTGTAAGCGTATTGAGTAGGTCTGAGAATCGGCCAACATGTATTTTTCATCCCACTAAATGTTAGGGGTAGTCCACCCCTAATTTTTATTTTTTAGACAAAATTTTTAGTTTCTATTTTTTTATGATACAACATACAAAAATACATACAATCCTAAATTTTCACCCTTCCACCACCCATCATCAACCCCTACTTTTTTTATAGCGTTATTAATTTATATAAAACAACGTTTGCCGGGACAGCTAGTATTGTATATTTTCATCTCGAAATTATTCTGAACTGACGGCAGATTTGACATAGCATAAGAGTCTGTAACAGATCTACATGAACAAAGATATTTTGAATTTGAATTTGAATATATTTATTTATGTTCATTATGTGCGCCACCTTTTTTTGTCTTTATTTATTTTCTATACCATTAAGTAGTCTGAAAAATTAGCTTATTATTGCTTAGCGATAAGACCGCCTTTTGTATCAACTTATGTAAAACTAGCTGTTCCCGCGACGAAGTCCGCGTGGAAATTAACTTTATTTTTATAAAATAAAAGTAGCCTAAGTTAATCCTTATTACATCAGGTACCTGCCAAAAAAAGTTCTGTCAAAATCGGGTCAGCCATTTCAGAGATTAGCCGGAACAAACTGACCGACAGACAGACAGACAAAAATTATAAAAATTGTTATTTTGGTATATGTGCCGTATATATATTCATATGCATGTAGTAAAAAACGGTTATTTCAGTATTACAAACAGACACTCCAATTTTATTTATATGTATAGATTATTATTTTAATTATTTTCTGTATCTGGTGCAATAAAGTGTATAAATAATAAAATGAACAAATGAAATTTGTTAGGAACTATGCGTTACATAATTGATTCCCAGATAACAAACTGCTATCTAATTGATACGAATAAGAAAATATTACATAAAGAAGAAGGGAGGGGGAGTAAATAACGAGATGACTGACACGGAAGAATGGAACAGAAGACATATTACACCGATCCCAATTAAATGGGATAAGAAAGAAACAGGTGATGATGATGAAGAAAATATTAAATAACAAGAATAATATTCTACAGTGAAGTAAATGTACCTGAACTGGCAGTTAACGCTTCTGTGAACTGTTCTTTCCACGACGACGTTCCTATTATAATGGATGCGTTTGCCCTTTGCACCAATTTGTCGACTGTATTCTGTTGAATAAAACATATAATGAAAATAATGAGACCGAAATATACAATACTAATATTTTTAAACAGATTTAAACGAATATTTTTTTGGTAAACTACGAGTAGCTATGCACGCGGTTTATATAGCCTATGTGGTATTCTGATGCAGAAGCTATGTTACTGTAAAGTTTAATCAAAATCCGTTCAGTAGGTTTTGCGTGAAAGACTAACAAACATCCGTACTTTCGCATTTATATTATTATATTAGGATTAGGACTAGTAGTGTAGTAGTCGCACCCCCAGTTTCACCAACTTGAAATTTGTATGTTATTCTGTTGTATAAGCTATGATATTATACAATGTCATTAAAATCAGTTTGTAATAATAGTAAGATAAAGGTGTTTATTTACCACTTTCAATGTTTCAATAAACTCGTGACCACGGCTAGTGCAACCAAATCGAAACGTCGAGAGAAGTAAATGAATTTATTTACCACAAAAAGGTGTTAAGCCCCGTTTAACAATCTTAATAATGTGTACTAAACGCGAAAGTTTATAAATAAGTATTGGAGACCAAGGTTATATTTGTAGAAAACCACCCGCGGAGATACCTCTGCGTCACCTCTTTCAGCCCCTAAGCAGTTTGCTTTTATAATATATTTTTCCAGTGAAATAAGGGCGAAATTAAACAGAGCCATGACATCTTAGTCCACCGAAATAGTAATGCTTGAGGGGAACGACGAGCACCACATAATAACGTGATGTCCGTGATACTGTTCATGTTTACAGGAGTGACCTCCTAGAGGTCAAGCTGACATGATACAATGGTCATTATTAACAATCGCTTTCTACCCAAAAACAATTATCACAGATGTACAATGCTCGTTACGTCGTAATAGCGTCAGTTAATATATATCCTCATGTAAATAGTTGACGGTTACCACCTACCACTAGGTGACCGAGAGATTGTTTGTAATTTCAGTTAATAAAAAAAATTATGAAAACAAAATGTTTTTTACATATTTCATAGATGACACAAAGGTACTGCCACGGAGAAGGTTTCCCTTTAATGAAATAAATAAGGCAAAAAAAGTGATCCCATATAAAGATTATAATAAATATTAGGTACCTTAAACTCTTTGCTCTCTTTGATCCTTAGTTGTGCTCTGGTTATTTCACCAGCTCGGGGAAGTCCCATCATAGCCACAACAGCTTCTTCTTCAGGTAATGTCGCCAAGTGGTTGACTTCATTGCCACCAGGTATCACCGGATTATCGTCATCTGTAGCACAAATGGAATAAATATATAAATAACATTAGAAATTTTACACAGCGCCATCTAGCCGCATACTAAGCTGAGCCTTTGCTACGGGAGAATTGATTGGTACTTAAATATATGAATTGTAAAAAACATCAAAAGACACTTATTAATTAATAAAGACAGTATTTGTATTACGCGATGAACGATCCAGCTACCATCGGAAAGTATAGAAGAGTGGCAAAAACTTAGACTATCGCGGTTGTCTAAATAGACGTGTCGTGAGTCCTACAAGTTATAATTAAAAAATATATTTTTACTTCATCGTTAAGTTTAAAAATAAATTTTGCTTCAGGTAAAAATATAAAGATATTTTTACCTCTAATTCACACATTCTAGTAATGAAAACAGCAACGGTAATCTCTTCAGTTAGTCTATCTAAGAAAACAACAGGGACAATGTACAGTACATGTACAACATTTATTTGAAAAGAATACGAACTGAGTTTCTTGTCAGTTCTTCTCATCTCGAAATCATTCCGAATTGACGGTAAATTTGACATATCATACGAGTTTTTAGATATTTTTAATAGAATTTCAATTTAAATATTTTTTTTTTACAGATCAGATTGATACAATAAATCATAGATACATGAATCGAACCCGAGACCGTTGGAAAGTAAGGCGGTGTGCACAACCCCTAAACTTATGCATATATATTATAATATTACATTCGGGGTCTATTCTAAATTAGTAGCAGTATAACTACTATTTATAAGCCACAAGACGTCGCTACGAGTAGTTCAGCTGCCCTATTTACAGGTATTCACGAATCACGTCTCACCGCTAGTTACGCTATAAACGAGCTCGTGGCGATCTACATATACCTACTTATAAATAGACACGACGTACTGTAGCTCATTCAACGTTGCACGATTGCCTGCACTATTTAAATTTTCTATTTAAAACTTTATTTTTTAGGTAACTGGAAAATCCAGCTAATGGCATATAATTTAATATATTTAGCATATTGGATCGGTTTAGGAGATACAATAAATACTAAATGTAGCTCAATTGTAGAATAGAAATTAAAAATACAGGATGTACTCGTACATAGCAATGAGAATATAACACGCTGATAAATAAAAAATATTAACTACAAACAATGATCTGAAATCAAACAAACCTTACTTTCAAATAAAGATCCATTCGGAAAACGTGAAATAAAATCAAAATAATAAATAAATAAAAAAAAAATTAAATATAAAAGCCTTTTTATTTCTTGCTTATTACAAAATTATGGCGTTAGTAACTTAGAAATAAATATTTATCACTATTTATTAATTTATAATTATTCAAGTATTTTTATTATTATTATTATTAATCTATTTGTTACTAATATATCTAACGTATAATAATGTAGTAATAAAACCCTGGACAATTTAACCAGTACCATATAGTCCTATTCTAAACAGAGACAAGCTAATTGAAAATTGGACTAACTTACCTAAGTGACGTCCAATTGTAATTTTGTGAACGTTGATCTGAAATATAATTGATTTACAGTGTAGTATTCCTATTCGCTACTATATGGCATCGCGATTTTAGAGTTATTTAAAAAAAAAAAATAATGCAAATTTATCTCTGTGATGTGGCAACCCCATGGATCACTGATTTAGAGCTGAAATCTTCAGATGTACATTACCCATTATGAACGGGATCAGCAACAGTAGGCTGATGTTGGGTCGGGCGGGTGATTATATTTCAGATCAACGTTCACAAAATTACAATTGGACGTCACTTAGGTAAGTTAGTCCAATTTTCAATTTTATTTCACGTTGATCTGAAATATAATTGATTTACAGTGTAGCTGTTCAGAGTCGCTTCATAATGGGTATTATTAATTATTATTAATAAAAGTATTTATAATAATCAGCATTTTTAATTATTTTTCAAAATAATGTAATTAAGCACATTGATTAATTGTTCATAAGAACTAAAAAAAGATAATTCTAATGTTAATATAATTCTAATCAGACTTTTTCAATTGTAATATTAATTAATTATTCAATACTAATCGAATTCCAAAAATTGTGTATTACAACTATTTTTAGTTGGCAAATTATAGAATTTTCCGAAGGTCAATGTCCTGACCAATCAGCTGTTTTCCTTATCATGTCAAGAGATACGCCCGCTTTATTCACCGACGAGGTGGCGGGATGTGTACTTACAATATCAATTCCACTATCCTCCAGAGTGCATTTGATGCATCTACTAATGGTATGCTATGATGTCCGATGGTAAAACTTTTGATATGATTATGAGGTATTGCTCCTTATTTCTAATTACTAATGTATGCTTGATTTACTCCTGAAGCATGTTAGATGGTCATATATTTGGTTCTTGATGTTAACATGGAAGTTCTAAAACTGTTTGTTTTTTGATGTCTATCAATTCAGTGAATTGATGGAAATAGCGATCTTATTTTCAGATATTAATATATACTCAAGTTTTATTATGTACAGGGTTTGAGCCCATTGAACAGTGGTTAGAACTAGTAGAGTTGTTAAATTTTTGCCGAGTACTTCAAGATTTAGAGTTGAAGTGTTTGGTAAACTAGCCAGATATCGTAATACCACAGATGGGTTCCACATTCCTCTGTATCGTTATAGTGATTATGTATTATTATATATTATGATTTCAATCTATATACATGTCTGAGAAGAAACCATTTGATTCTGCCATCTGATCCAACCATGTGTTATAACCAATTCCACTCTCAAAGTTTTCAGTAAAGAATAAAAATAAAATAATATTATTATTATTGAAAGGGATGGAGCCAAGTATTGATCCTTGATTATGTTTGTGTTAACAAAACTGGCAACAGCTTTTGTAAGTAGTATATACTGTTTCATTATACCTGTTGATACAGATGCTAGCTTGATGTTTAATGAACTCTCTGGCAAACCTCGGTGTCTGAATGTTGTCCACAGAAGAGGTTCGTTGTCAGGGTAAGTTGACAATATAGTGGATGAGCTGTCCTAAAGGGAAATAACAAGAGGTTATTACTAGTTTGCATATGATGGGTTTAGTTACCAGGAGGTATCAGAGTTAAGTCTCACAGCAGGTAAATTATCCAATTTTGTGTTGAACCATCCATATTACAAGGTAGATGGATTTTCCTTCCATGAAACATACCCATCACAATAAATCAATATGTGAGGTTTCAAATTGACTTCTTATTCATTGGAATGCCTTGTCATTAATTTCCCATTCTGTGTCCATATTTGTGTAACAGGATTCATCAGCAACAACATTTTCTTTTGACTTAATGTATGATGCATAAATATTTATATTTATGTTTTCACACCAACTCCACATGTCTATAGTGATGTCGTTCAAGTTTGAGTATTGAACACTGCCCATTTAGTTAAACACCTGCGATAGTAGTAGTGTTATCAATTTTTGATAATACATTACAGTTTTGCAAACCATTGACGCCCAAACTAGGCAGCTAGTAATTCTAATTGGTAAATTACAACTGCTGTTCGGTATAAGATCATAGTCCTCTAACACTTTCATCATTATACTTATCATTGCGGTGTAATAGGGCCATGTAGCCCTTTTCATTGCTCTTTAAGTGTCCTATCATAAGAGATATAGCTGGACAGGCTGATACCAGAGTACCAAGTAACTTTACAAAAGCTCTTATTTAACAGTCTCAGATTTTTTAATTTTGTTGTTAACATTTTAATATCAATACATTTTTATAATGGTAATTTAAATCTCATAGTGTGGAAATAAATAATAAATCCAAGAAACTGGCAGGATGTAAGTCTCTCTAAGTTAACATACTTTTTCAGAATTAACAATGAGACCCAAACATAAGAAAATAAGGAGGGTGACATGTCTATTGGCTAAACCTTTGTTATAGGTACATCCTATACACATATAGTCATCAAGATATATTGTTGACAGGTAGCCATGCCTCTGAAGGTAAGCAACTACAAATACTGTGAATTGAAGTAGAATATTCTTGAAATATTTTACTTTAACAAATTTGTTAAGAGGCTTGAAATTTAGGTTGAACCAAAATTTTCCATTGAGGAATTTAATTCATTGTCTTCATGTTTACATTGTGTTACAGCCTCTAGATTGAGAAAATTATAGCAGTGTGAGTTTTCTTTCCACTTACTGACATATTATTTATTAGAGTTGTCAAATGTATTGGTTGACATATGAAAAAAAGGTGGGTACAATATCCTTGCACTCACTGCAGTATGACTGGATCACTAGTTACCGCCCATATGAAAGAAATATATATATATATATATATATATATATATATATTTATTAAATTGTCAGCATGTACCTGATGGCTGTATGTACCATTAGTGCCTGTTGGTGTAGGCACCTTATTGCAGTTTCTTGGGGCGCCGCTAGATCTATGGTGGTCTCTGCGGCTGAGTGAACTTGTAATTCCTTGGTCCACTTTTGTTGCTTCCTGTGAGTTTGGAACAGCTTGCCAAGTTGGACCCACTATGTTTACAGATTTGCTTGTAAACTTTGTTGTTATGGGTCATTGTAGTTTCTTTATGTGTATTAAGGAATAATAATTAGCTGTAATTCTTACTCCTAGGTTTTCTGTATATACATGTTTATCCTTTTTGTTTTTTCCCATCATTGTGATAAAAAATTATTTAACAATGGTGATAGAATCACCCTTCTTGTTTAATAAGATGATGGTTCCTCTCATTTAAGAGTTTACTTGCATCACTCAATGATTTAAATAATAGAATGTTCTCAGCACCTGATTTTTAATTAGGTCTGAAAGAACTTGTCCAGTTATAGCTGTATCGCTGCTGTGCTTCTACAGTTTTGTCCCTCAGTTTAGAGCTCTCATTTAAAATTGCTTTCACCTCAATACATATTTAGTATTGGGCCTAAAAATACTTACAGTTGTAAGAGATTTTTGTTTTTCTTCAATAAGTACTTGTTTGTTTGTATTATATTTGTGAAAAAATT